CGAGGTTTCCATCCACCTGACACCCCTGCAAGGTAGGCCCCCTTCGGCGCCACCTTACAAAAGGGAGCCTGGGAAAGCCTTGCGAGTGCCTCCACCACGGTTGGGTGGGATCCGAGCTGCAGGTTTCCTGGCACGTGCTCCTGCGGAGGTCAGGCGCACGGCGGTAGGAAGTCAGGGCGGGCGCGGTAGGGAGGAGAGCGGCGAATGAGGAACCCCGTGGGCGAGCGGGCGGAGGGTGCCCGCTGGGCCTCCTTGCCTGGGTCGCCGGCAGCCTGTGCTATCACACAGCAGGTGTTCTCAGCTGCAAAGGGGGGAAAGCCGACTTCGCCCGGCACCCAATGTCGGCTTGCACGGACTGAATCCGAAAACAAGCCCCGTGGGCCCCAAACCGTGGCTTAGACCTCCTCCCCCTACACTGGGGGTCTGGGCAGCGTCACACGGCATCTTCACATGTGGCTGAACCTTGCCCTGCAAACAGAAAGGCAACATTACAGGGCACGTTTGCACTCCCACCTTGACGTGTTACCTTTTTAAATGCAGGGAGGCGGCTGCCTCGTAACCTTGCAAAGAGGATGCTCCGTTTCCAAGAGTTTCCAGCGGGGCGACGCTGTCGCTTTTACACCTTGTCTCTGAAATCGCAGAAAACCTGGGGGGGGGGGGGGGGTTGGAATAAAATGGCTCTCTTTGTCTGTGAGAAGTTACACTTTATTCCCTTTTTTTCCCCCTGCTGTTTCGTCCTGGCATGAAGGCGCAGGGACCTGGCCTGGGTTCAGGCCAGCGGGGAAGAAGTTGACCGACAATGATTAACTTGATACTGTTTGAAACAAAAAGTTGGTGTGGTGCATCTTAAATATGTGCCTGGCTGTTAATTAACTCTCTTGATTTCTCTGCCAAGGAAGGGCACGTCCCTCCGTGCCCGGAGAAGCCGCATGGAACAGCAGAGCCTGTAAAAATATTTTTCTGGTCCTTAACTGGGTTTGTAGATAATCTAGGGGAAAGCCCCTAGTATAGGTAAACAGGCTGTGCTAGGAACTCACCTGCGGAAGAGGCAAGCCAGGAGTAAGCTCGCTGAAGAGGCAAGCCACTGGTAGAAATTCAGTCCCCGTTGGGGGATGTGTGCGCTCTCCCTCCCACAGGATCCCTTCCAGGGTGTTCGGCTGCCAGATCCTCATCCCACCCCGCTTGGCCGTGGGGACACAGGTGGATTCATGGAGCCTCTTTGTTCAGAACTAGTCTACCTTGAAATGGCCTGAAGGCTTGGGCAAAGGCTGAGGGAGGGTTATCTCTGCCTTGGTTTGTTTAGAGGCTCTGCCAGAAGCTGGCCCCAAGGAAATTGTTAACTCAGCGGGCCATCTTGGGATCTTATCATCTACAGAAGTTGCACAATTGCCTAAAGCCGCTGGAATCCCTCCACCCATCCCCGGCCCGTTTCCTTCTGGGTGTGTGGAAAGAGAGAATTGAGTCATTTGTTTTGAAAGGGATGGCTCAGAGGGAGCACAAGCGAAGCGTGACGTCAGGAAGCACGGAAAACCTCAGAAACGGGCCGGATTCTTTTTACCTGCCTTGGGTGCAGAAGGGTGATTCCAAGGGCGTGGGCCAGGTTCTCCTTCCTTCCTCGTTCCAGGTGTGAGTGTGTGTAGTGGCTCTTCCACTCCTGGTTTATGTTTTGCTTGTGCAAGATAATGATTTGGAAAACCTGCTCTCTAGGATTGTGATAAGAGGTGGGCCTTGGCACCTCCCCAAAAATTTGCTTTGGAGAGCTGCTTCTCTCTCTCTCCCTCCCTCCCTCCCCTCTTTCTATTTCCTTCCTTCCTTCCTCTCTTTCTATATCCTTCTTCCTTCCTTCCTTCCCTCCCTCCCTCCCTCCTTCCTTCATATTTCCTTCCTTCCCCCTCCCTTCCTATTTCCTTCCTTCCTCTCTTTCTTTCTATATCCTTCCTTCCTTCCTTCCTTCCTTCCTTCCTTCCTTCCT